AAGTGGGTCCAAAGCAAAAGAAATGGAAAAGATGTCTCTTGCTGGGAAGGAATTTCTGATCATTTTTCTTTATCAATGAAGACCTTTTGTAAAAGGTCTTGAACCATGGTTTTAAGAGAGAGGAGGAGGGATAGAGGGAGAAAAAGAGAGAGATTATAACATAAATTCAAATTTTCTTCACAAAATACCCATGAGATAGAATCGGTAGCTCCTAGAACAGGAAGAAACAAAAATATTTCATATGTTTTGTGAATTATTCCTGTTTTAGGTATGTTTTATATTTTCTTCACATGTGAGTCTGTGACTTTTATTATTGCTCTTATCATTTTCCATCTTCTTTGTTTCTGCCTTTAGTAAATTCTTTCCATATAAAGTAAAAAGCTCCTGAAACAGAAAGACATTTTCTCCAGCCTCTCTGTTCATGGGTAGATTATACAGGCGATGTTTCTCCTAGTTCACTTTCCAGACCACCTTAAGATAATTTTCGTTTTGATTTTTTTCTATTATTTTCAGGTTTGGCTACTTTTAAAAAGCAAAAGTTAAAAATGAAAAATGTCCAGTATGATGGCATGCCTTGTTGCAAGAAATAGCATCCTTTTAGGCAGCTTTGTCTTAGAGACAGACAAAACAACTATGTGTGGTTCTGGGACAGCAAGTCTCCACACACAGCTGAAAACTTCTTTGAAAGGAGTTCAAAAATGTGAAGGAATTCTGGGGGTGGGGGGATTGCTCTGTGGTTGTAGTTTGGGAAATTCCTGAAAGCAGAATGGCAGTCCCTCTTGAACCACAGCTATTCAGGATCCCTTTTGCATTCTTCCCTAAGCCTGTGATGTGTGCTATAAATAGAAGAGCCTATGAAGAGAGATGGGCTCTTTTTGCAAACAGTCATTTTATTTTTTAGAAGTGTCTAGAGACATTATTCATAAGGATTCATTCCTGCACATTTTCCTGCTGAGAATCTCCCTCTCTTGACACTGTGGGTGGTCAGCTTTGAAATCCACTAATGATCTGTGAGATACAGAGAGTGCAGAAAGAGTTATTTATTTTTTAAGTTAATACATGAGGAGTCCTTTTAGTTCTAGAAGGTTTTCAGGCATCTGGCTGTGCTATGTAAATAAGGAGCATCCTTTTCAAGCCAGCGTCTTTGACTTTGTTAGTCAGCTAAATTTTCTAAAGATAATTTTTAATAAACATAGAAAATTAATGACAATCATTTGGTATGCTGACTGTATTGTGACTTGTAATCAAATACATTGTAGCAGTTATAGTGCAAAATATACAGATGTTTGCATACACTTAGATGGGTGGATTTTTTTAAGGTTTAAAATGAGTGAATATTTTTCTGCTTCATGTTGTTGTCAAGTGTAAAATATATGTGCAATAGACCCTATATGGCACTAGTAAAATAAAAACCCTCTAATCTTTGTACTTTGATGGGTAAATATCATGTTTTCAGATGTATGTTAGTCAAAAGTCAAAATGTTACCCCAAAAAAGAAAGAAAGTTATAATGCCCTGGCATCCTGCTAAGAACACAATAGTAACTAGTGCCTGTCAAGCTTTTACTCTGGAGAGAAAATTAGTCTCTGGAGAGCTGGTTTAAGCTCAAATAGACTATGCAAGAGGATCACCTCATAAATTTCTTAACTGCAGAATCTCGACCTCACCCCAGATCTCCTAAATCAGAATCTCAGAGAGCAAGGGGAGCTCAGGAATGCACATTTTAAGATCTCCACGGGAGATTCACTGGTAACATTATGTAGTTCAGACCAACTTTTAGAAGCCACCGACATCTGAATCCATGCATTACAGAACTAAGACTTTAAAATCCTTGCTACTGCCTAAATTCTCTTGTCACATACACATGCTATGTCTTACAGAGACTAGTTCATGCACTTATGTTGTCTCCCCAACAAGAGCAGAAGCAACGCTCATTTATCCCATGGCACATGGCTGTCAGTGACAGAGGATACTGGTTGACAGCAGTTGGCAATAAATACGGTATTCTGGAGTACAAGTGAAAGCTTCCTCAACATCTAAGTTCTCTCCCACAACTACTTTCCATTGAGAAAATTGTCCTGACCTCCTTAGAGGAATATTTGCAAAACAGTTTTCTAGATGGTTTACATATTCCATGTGGATAATTCTCCCATAACTAATTAAACAGCGCCCAATAAATTCACAGCAACGTTACAACATCTGGAGTAAACTGGGTGAGGGAGGGTGACATTGTTTTAATCGTTATCCAAAAATCGACTGTTACATAGGGTCCTTCAACCTCAGGTCACTCACTTTCCTGGTCGACACTGCCATTTGCTTCAGGGTATAGAGAGGCACTGAAGTGAGTTACATGACAGCAAAAACAGCTGACTTGCTGGCTTCTGAAGAAGTTGGGATTTAAGAATGAGATCTTTGGCAAGGTCTAAATAGGAGTAACCTTTAGATTCTGGTGTGACACAGCTGGTAGCAAAGATTTATTTTATTAAAACTATTGGTGAAGTATTTGGCTCTCCAGGAAATCCTCTGGGATTTGAAGGTACACTTTGAAGTGAAGTGTACACAGGTACCATCATCTGGCAAAATCTCAATTTGTTAAAGCTGACTCTTTCTAATAACATACTAATGAAATACCAAGATGGGTCAGAGGGCTTTGTACCCTTGCCCTTGTTTAGCCAGAGAAGGCATTTTCCCCTTTCATAGAGTGTTTTCTAGAGAATTTTTAGTTCACTCTCTGCTCTAGCTGTCTACTGATGTACAATGCAGACAATTGTTTCTTCCCATGAATTTATACAAGCAAATTCTCCCAACAGCTGATGAAAACAAAAAGGAAATGGGACTTGATTTATCAATGGAACATGATTAAAATTAGTGTTTTCCTTGGTTTAACATAAAAGCATCTTGGGTTAAGTCTATATGATTGATTATATTAAATCAATCAATATTTAGATTTGTTTGACTTTCATATATGTGGTGTTCTCCTTTACTACAGAAAGATAAATTTGATCTAGAATGCAGCTTTCAAGAGTGTTATACTCCTACACTTTGTCCTAGAAAACATATGCTTAATGCTGAGCTTTTAACTCCAAGTTAGGTGGGTGGGGGCAAAGTTACATTAGATTTATCCATAGCCCCAAACAACATTAAGCTCCTAATTAACCTTTAAGTCCCACCAGAAGGCATCTCTGTACCTGCCAGGTGGTCTGGCTATTCTTTCACCACTATTTTCAGGCAAGAAGGCACAATGTTGGCTCAAGAGTCCTCAAAACTTTGTTTTGTTGCCCCAAAACAGAAGAGTTTGTCTAGGGTGGTGACATTGATTTTTAATTTTTTTCCCAACTCTAGAAACCTATGATATTTTCTACTATTTGTAAACTGCTAAGCAAGTTGCCCTGAAAGTTATAAAATGAGTGAGTTACTGATCACTTACAGGATCACCTTATGTGTTGGCAAAATCTGAAGGTCTCAAAGCCTCACCCCACCAAAGTCAGCTTTACCAGCTGCCTGATACATACCTTCCCCATAGTGCTTCACCCCATTCACGTTGATAAATAATATAAAGTGTAGACATTTTAGGAAAGGGAAACCTCACCAGATTTCCAAGTTGGGTATTCATTAGTATGAAAGAATATGATACTTTCTTGTGAGCAAATTTATTTTGGACTAAGGGGATTAAAAGATGTAAGGAAGCTATCGAGAGACCAGAAAGATGAGAAGGACAAGAGAACAAGTCCATAGTGTGGGTAAAATTTACAACCAGATTGGGAGGAGGCTGAGTCATGAAGACAAAATATGTTAGCTTCCTAATTTTCAGGGTGGTCCTGGCACCTACACTTAAGAGTTAACAGTCATGTTTAGAAGACAAGATGAAAGCAGGAAAGATAAAAACCTAGATCCATATATGGCAAGGTACGTGGTGGACTGAGGTAACAAGGAGAAAGGGAAAAAAATGGAAGGAAAAGACATCAATATTAAATGGACTTCATTTTACTACAAGTGACAAAACCGCAACTCATATTGGCTTAAAAACTAAAAGGGGGTTAAGATACCTAGCTTATATAGCTGTTGTGTAATGGTTGGATCTAATACCCAAATAATATCATCAATAATCTATCAGTCTCCCCCAGTCTCTAATATTTTCATTGCTACATATTAGTTATTTATCCTCAGCCCTCTGGATAGGCAGATGCCACCAGTACTTTGGCCCTGGGGTCCATCCTGCACTAATCACTGTGATTGACACCAAGAGGTGCTCTGCCCCTCCCAATCAGGGGGCTGAGATTCTTGAGGGCTGGGGGTCTGGAAGTGAAAACTAAAACTACTGTTACTTTAAAAGGGGAATAGATGCAGGGAAGGCAGAAACCACAGATTTAAGTCACTGTCCCCTCTGGAGAGTGTTTCCCCAGCAGGTGAGAGGAGTATTTTTCCTGAGCTTTTCTTTCACAGGTGACTCTGGGCCAGGGGCCACCAAGCCAAAGTCTAAGTTGGAGAGCTGTGTAGTCATTACAACTCTCCACTGTACTTTTCTTTCCTAATTACCAGAAGGGTGGCTTTTGGAGAACTTGTCCTCTTTGGAGAAGGTTAGCCCCAACTTGAAATTCTCCTCTGAGCTTGGAGCCTAAAATGGATTTTTCTAGTAGACATTTGAAGCACTTTATTGAGGCAACACCACACCTATTTAATGAAGCCCTGAAAAGGCACCTTAGGTGAAATAAAAGATGAGTTAAATAAAAAATAAAAATAGACTGCTTAAAATAGAATGCATGGCTTTGGACAATCTAAAAAGCCATTAACCTTCTTTCAATGTAAAGTACACAGCTACAAATACTCATAAGTTTAAAATCACAGAAAGAGAAAGAGAGAAGAAAAAACTCCACTTATTAGACAAGACACAATTGTTAATTTTATTTGTGTGTGTATGTGGGGGTGTGCGTGTGTGTGTGTGTGTGTAAAAGATCATTTTTTGTTTTCTGATTGGTTTTATAATTGCTTTTCCCTTCTCAGTGATAGTGAAACTTGGTTTTGTGACTGTCCAAGGCTGTACTCAGGCAAGCAGTGCCAGTTTGCAACTTGTGAAAGCAACCCATGTAGAAATGGTGCCACCTGTGTTCCTAAATCCGGGACAGACATTGTCTGCCTCTGTCCGTATGGAAGGTCTGGTCTCCTCTGCACTGAAGGTAAGAGCTTTTCATTATTGGGCATGAGCACAGGTAGAAGGGGGTGAAGAGGAGAGAAAGTCACTCAGAGAAATCAAGGACAGTACCTGACTGAACAAATCCGTCAAATCCTTTCCTTGGTTCTTTTCAAGTCAGTCAAGACAAGAACCCATTAATGAGATGGATCACTGAGCAGGTATTTCTCATACCCACTGAGTAATTATAAAGGAGGTAATAAGGTTTCCCTGAGGTTAGACTACGGAAAATCTGTATTATAAAATCTCCACAGCATTCTAATACTTAAAGAGTAGCAAGGAAAATCAAAAAATACATAAAATCAAATTATTTTACAACATTTTGTCAAACTGAGGATATAATATTAACAAATCTATGTATTGTAGACAAGGTGTTTTTATTTAAAGATAACAAAACCCATGACACGGTTATTATATCCCAAGAAACTAAATCAGAAATACAAGCCATGTTCCTCTCTTTAGGAAAATCCAGTATGTAGAAACCCTTTATTACAAAAATGTACAAGAAGCTACAATATAAGATAAGAAGCAAATTGCCTAAGAATATAACATTTGCTTTGATATACAGAAATAAACTTTGTAAATATTTTCAGAAAGAATTAAAAGTAATTGGTATTAATATTGAATCAACTCAGGATGACTTATTTCATCTTCATTTTCACCATAAAGATAAAAAAAAATGTTTACTCCTTTGACACTAGTGATATTCGTTGCCAAATTTTAGACTAAGGCTCCCAAAGTGAGCACAGACCCTACATCCTGGGAAACACACACAATGACACTAACACATCCAGACTGTGCTGACTCATCAAAAAGCTGGGGCCACACACCTGTTGGTACAGGCGTGAAAATTGAAACTAGAATAAAGAGGAATCCGTGACCAAAAAGTATTGACGGTTTTGATACGTACGTCTTTAAAGGGAACTAAGGAAAAAGACTTGATGCATAGCTGAGAGAGGGGCCCCGCTGTACGCATGGCAGGACCACATTAGACGCAAGCTTTATCTTTGCAATAAGCATCATAGACAGACGGAACAGAAGTCTTGCCCTTCCCTATAAAAACCTCATGCTTCTTAGACATAATCATTCCATTTAGTTAAAAGCTATTGGAAAATATAATTGATGGCAATAAATTTGATTACTAAAGGATAAATCATCAATTCTGCTTCCTGCTTAAAAATGACTGACCATATGAAATAAGAAATGAAGATTTACAAGAATATCTTCATGTATTTACAAAAAAATTCTTACTTATTCCCCTCTCTTAGTCCCATTAGGGTTCCAAAGATGCAAAGATTTATGAATGATTGAGACAGAAAAGATCACACCAAGTTTATTAGGCTCTTTGCCTCAGTGTCAGTAAGAAGAAATTTCTGCATGCTCTCATCCAGAGGAATGTCTCAAAATAATTAGCCTATCCATTAATGTTTCTACAAATGTGCCAGATCCATTTGAGAATTCTGCCCTTATAGAGCTTACCTTCTGACTGAGAAGATAAAAAGAAAATAGAAATGGCTCGAGACACAATATAAATGTTATGAAGAGAATTATGAGGGAAACGAGGATGAAGAGAGTGGCTGGGGAGGGTTGCCAATCTCACCACAAGAATGACTCCAGGAGAGGGGAGGTCAGTGCTGAGGCCTAAAGAATAAGGAGGAAAAACAAGTCTCCAGGCAGAAGGTTCAGAAAACGGAAAAGCCTAAAGAGAGAGCATGAGCCTTTTGAAGAATTAGAGGCGCTTCCATGGCTGGGGCACAAGAAACAAGGCTTAGACTCTGTTTCCGGAGTACTTAGGAAGCCATGGCCGGAGGGTTTCAAACAGGCACATGGTTTATATGTATTTGCTTAAACCATTTTGATTTTAGAGATTGATTTTAGAAGGCTTCTGTCTCTGATTCTGACAAAAGATAATTTTGTCTAAGACAAGGGTGATGGCAGTAGAGAATGAAATAAGTGAACTTGAGATCAGTTCTGGGGACAGAACTGGAAACTTAATGGAAAGGTAAGTGTGAGAAGGGCTGAGTCAAGAACAATGGCTGGATTTCTGTTTGTTGGTTCGTTTGAACTGCAGGTAGATGGTGGCACCCAAATCATTGCTTGGACCATTCAGGTACCAACCTGACCTCCAGGGCTTTGTCCAGAACATGCTGAACATACGTTTACTCATCAGAGAAAAGCATAGAGCAAACCAATTGAGCATGGTTCTTGCCCAGTTACAACTACACATGAGAACAGGCACAGAAAAAACTGAGACTCTCTTTCTTATTTTGGCCTTTTTGTTAATACCAGAGGATTAAAAACTCAGCTTGTTTTATCAGCAATTGTGTTTGCTACATATCATTTTTCTTTCAAATTATAGCCATGTCTGCCAGGCTAATGTATTCCTTGGGGGATAATAGAGAATATAATTATGACATTTCCTACCTTGTTGATGTCTCACTGGGGAATTCGTTCCTGGTCGATCACAGCAGTGCTGTTGGAGATGAACACTGGAAATGGAAAGCTCCAGCTGCCTTATTCATAAAGTGCTTGGCTCTCCTCAGCCACACTTCCTGTGGCCTGTTCCTACCAGGAAAAACCTCTTCTTGTTTTCTTAACCACATGTCTTTCTAAAGACAAAGGGGAGACACTTTCTCTTGTCTCTTGCCCTCTTGTGTCCCCTCTATAAATATTTCTTAATTTACCTTCTCCTCCCAACCTAGGTCACTCATTGGACACAGGTTTTGAAGAAAGCAGCACAATCCTGATTGCAAGCCCAGGCCCTGCAATCGGTGTGCTGGGTTCAAATCCCCATTCTCTGCTGACTAGTCAGCAGAGTGATCTCAGGCAAGTCCCTGGATCTCTCAGAACTTCCACTTCAGTGAATATAATAATAGAACCTACCTTAGAGATTCAGTGAGAATTAAGTGAGAGTACCTAACACGTTACTGATCATATAGAAAATGCTTTTGGAATAAAATAATGCCATTTGCAGCAACATGGATGGACCTAGAGATTATCATACTAAGTGAAGTAAGTCAGAGAAAGACAAATACTACTTATATGTGAAATCTAAAATATGACACAGACGAACTTATCTACAAAACAGAAACAGACTCACAGACATAGAGAACAGACTTGTGGTTGCCTGGGGGTGGGGGGGAGGGAAGAACCGGGCGTTTAGGGTTAGCAGATGCAAACTATTATATAGAGGATGGATAGACAACAGAGTCCTACTGTAGAGCACAGGGCACTATATCCAATACCCTATGATAAACCATAATGGAAAAGAATGTATTATATATATATATCTGAATCACTTTGCTGTACAGCAGAAATGAACACAACATTGTAAATCAGCTATACTTCAATTTTAAAAATGCTTTGGTTTTTTAAGCGTGTCAAGCCAAGATTCTCACATGCGCAGTAAACTGCCACGTCTTAATGTGGGAGAGGAAGCTGGATCTCCATCCCAGCTAAAAAGGAAACTCTCTAGGATGTCAAAGGAAATCAAAATTAATTTCCTTTTAAGAATTTTTCTAAGTTGGTGACACTCTTCACAGCGCCTGGAGGCAAGCCAGGGTATCACAAAATCAGGGAGGAAAGTGGCACCCCAGTGACAGATATTCAGCAGGCTGTTTAAGGACATGATACCTCTGTAAAGCAGCTTAATGTCAGGCTGGCATTTTGTGATGGCATACTTCAAACAAGTGTAACTTTATGTCATGTAAGCTTGTGACTCTTGACAGCATCTACTCTGATAAGATCCAGCTTTTTCTCTCCAACTCAACAGCTGCTTGATTGCCCTGCTGTTCACATGACCTCAGTATCCTTCCTTTCCCACCACGTTTAAATCCTGTGTTTTCTAGCTCCTCGTTACAAAGACGTGTTGAAAAGATCAAGCCCAATCCCAGAGGGGAGTAAGGAGACAGTAGATTGTGGCCACACAAAAAAGCACTCAGGAAAGTGATTGCACTTGCTCTGGGCTGAAGGCAACCCTTGAGAAGTCTGCATTTTCTCTTCCTTAAGAACTGAGGGAATTGCCTTTCCTTTTGTTCAGTGGGAAGGTGTATACCTCCTGCCTTTCACTTTTTTTTCTATCTGTAAAGAAAAAAAATTAGACTGACACATATAAAAAGGCAGCAATTAAAATAAGTACATGTCTCAACATACACCGAAATGCTTGTGACAAGTAGCCTTGATGGACGCTTGCCAACGAATCCACTGGCTCATGAATTAGCACCTTTCTTCTGTTTATGCAAGAGGCAATTCCAGCAGAGCAAAGTCACAGCTATTGTTCCAATAATTATCACAAGTACTTTGTGTCTATAAGCAAATGAGTCTTTAAAAATATATACAAAAGTATCCAGGAAATATTTTCTGGTGAATGTCTTTCATGAGGTTTATATGTATCTATAATTAATGCTATAATCTTTCTCTAAAGGCATTATGCTTCCTACCAATGATTGGTGTTGGATTTAATTATCTATATGTACACACACACACATACACAAATACATTCACACACACATGCACACACCCATCGATTAAAAACAATGAGATAAAAAGGTATTTTGGGGATTTCCTTGGTGGTGCAGTGGTTAAGAATCCACCTGCTAATGAAGGTGGGACACGGGTTGGATCCCTGGTCTGGGAAGATCCCACATGCAGTGGAGCAACTAAGCCTGTGTGCCACAACTACTGAGCCTGCGCTCTAGAGCCACGAGCCACAACTACTGAACCCTCCTGCCACAACTACTGAAGCCCGCATGCCTAGAATCCATGATCTGCAAGGAGAGAAGCCACCGCAATGAGAAGCCCATGCACCGCAACGAAGAGTAGCCCCCACTCGCCACAACTAGAGAAAGCCCACGTGCAGCAATGAAGACCCAACGGAGCCATAAACAAACAAACAAACAAATAAATAAATAAAATTTATTTTTAAAATTAAAAGGTATTTTGACTTGGGGAATTATACCAGTTCTGGCAGAGTCTGCTGGTTGTTTA